AGGAAGGGAGGAAGGGAGGAAGGGAGGAAGGGAGGAAGGGAGGAAGGGAGGAAGGGAGGAAGGGAGGAAGGGAGGAAGAAAGGAAGGAAGGAAGGAAGGAAGGAAGGAAGGAAGGAAGGAAGGAAGGAAGGAACACACAGCTGAAATGCCCCAGTGGAAGCACTGAACTAGAGAGTAACACTCCTAAACCACCAAAATGGGGCATAACTTGCAGAGAAATAACACTATCAAAGGAGATCACACAAACCAGAAATTAACCATTTTCAAAAATAAGAACAGGAGGTATTTGAATTAGATGCTTTCACTCTCCCTCTGTAACAGGAGTTTAGTGAGCCTTTTTGCTGACTCAATGGACGTTCACCCTTACTTGGCTGAAGTCCAAGTACAAGACACTGAAAAAATTCAATTCACACACGCTCCACAGACACCTGTTAAGTATTTGGCATCTCATCTATGAACAGAAAAACCTCTTAAATAGCCCAAGCCAAGCAGGCATTCCATAAAGGCAAATGTTCATGAATCCAACAATACATTAAATCACTATAAATTTATATTGTTGACTCAGTAAGAATTTTCTCAAACACTAAATAACCACCATCAAATACATTCTAAGAAGCCAAGGTACACAAACAATTTTGCTTGATCCATAGTGTGCAGCATGTACTTTATATTATATTAAAGCATTGCTAGCCAGAGAAAATCTGGAATGTTCAATAATAAACTGCAAAGAAACTGAAACTAAGAGTGTAAGGATTTCTACTAATAATCTGCACATGTTATTTGAAATTTGATCCTACAGCCCTTATTCACAAGATCAGACCTATTGAGTTTATTCACATGAGCTTTGGCTGCAAGATTGGACCTTAAGTACTATCAGGTGCACGTGCAGCCTATCATCAGATTTTGGGTTATTCATGCAAGAAGCTACCCTTTCAAATGCAGACTACTTAATGCTTCCTTCTTCATTAACTTACATGTCCTCTTCTGCTGCTCTATGCTTTCATTTGTGCTATGTAAATAGCCTCTCAGTCATCAAAACAAATAATGATCTTTGCAACCAAGGAGGAAATTAGTAGCAGGTGAACGCTTATTTTTTAAATCCTGTTGAGACCAAGCTGTTCTTTTAACTTAAAGGATCTCTGGGAAAAAAATCCGATTTTACTACTTAGCCATCTGAATTATGGGTTGTCAAGGTCATAATTTTACATACTTATCCCACATACACTACTCAAATATTAACCTTGATGGCAATCTAGTTTGTGATGAGCTGGATCTAACACTTGTGAACATATTTTAAAGCAGTTTATTTAGTGGAATAAGACTTCTCTGATGATATAAAATTAACTATATCTTATCATACATGACACCAGGAATTTGATTTAAGTGTTCTATATCTTTGTTTTACATATCTGTTCTACATAAATACGAAATATTATACTATGGTGACAGCAAAAAAACATCTCAATGCTTTTGCTACCTGCCTACAGACTTTTGCAGGTGAGACAGGCTGCAATTACAAGACATGGAATTAACTTGAATAAGATCACAGCAGAGACATTTATGTCATGGTCCACATTATAATCTACATATTTACAAATCCTCTTCTAATTTTGCAAGACATTGGTAGAGAAGTAACCTGTCAGTACAGGTAAAAGTCTCTTCATCAGTGAAGGCACTCCAAAAATACTAAAGTTAGTATTCAGTGGCCCCCAAGTAATCAACAAATTATTAACTGCCTTTAGGCTGTAAGATACATGCAAAGCAACAGACAATATCTACCTTCTGATGCTAGAGATACTCCAGATACCATATGAATATGGAAGGAGAAAGTCAACAAAAAGCCTGCAACAGCTAAACTGTTGTCACAAAATTTTTCTCAATCGTACTGCAAACTTGCCACATAGATTAATCATCAGTTTGAAACAGCTGCAACACTATGTTCTATGCACTTCTGCTGCCATTTAAATTTTTTAAAAAAGAAAATGGAGAGGTTCTCTACAAAATTCAATGCCACAATAGCAATGACTGAACCAGAATCACAAAATTATTAATAGTTCATTAAAATGTCTATTAACAACACATACCAAAAAGGCTACATATCAAAACCATGTATCAAAAGAAAAAAAATGTGTGCCTGAGATAACTGATCAGTCAATGAAGAATAAAAAGATGTAAGGAGAGGAGATGTAGGCAAACCATTTTGATTTTTGAAGAATCAATTTCCACATAATCAGAAAAACGGCAGAACATTACAGACAGTGTATTCATGTCTTTTATCAGAAAAAAAAAAACAACAAAAAAAACCCCCAAAAAACCCCCAACAAACAAAAAAAAAAAAAACATGGATAACCAAATTGAAATTTATTAATGCTCCAGGAAAGAGAAAATGATGCTGGTACTATAAGATCAGGGAGTACATTCACTTCTTAAAAATCAATAAAACACATTAAAAACACTCTACGATATATATTTTTATATATATGTATATGCATAGTAAAAAATGTTGTCTTGTGCAGGATGTACACATGCTTTAAAAATTAGAAAACCAGCATACAATGACTGAGTTAACAAAGGAAATACTGAATGCATAAAACAATTTTGTTCAGTCATACAAATATAGCTACTTCATCATCTCACTGGATGATGAGCTACATAACTGAACCCTAAATGCACAATAAAGAACTCCTAGAACCAAAGGATGATGTTTCAAAGCAAAGACCTAAGGCCAGATTTTACTACATCACTTTACAAATCATTTGAGTGACTGCTTCTTAAGCTACCACAGTTTGCTTAACACATCTTCACCTTAGACTATGAAACAGCTTATCAGAGGATGATACACCACTCCAGTACTATTCAAAGTTTGCATCAGTGGCCCATTAATTTATGGCACAAAATGAGATTTTAGTTATGTGAATAAATGCTAAGGATCAGCACCTCCCGTGTTCCCAAATAATTACATCAAAATCAGACACTGGAACATTTATAAATCTGCGGCTTGTTGGAACAACTATGTGATACCAAGCACCTAGTAGAAAAAGACTGAAACACAGATGAGGTTTTTTTTTTTCTAAAAACACAAAAAGACAACTTAGAACAATTCTCTGTCAGATACCTGACCTTAAAACTTCCTTGCCCTTTCCCAACCAATATAAACAAAGTGCATTTTCGAAGATCATTCAAACTGGAACATGGAGAATGACTATAACTAAGGCAAAATGCACAACACAGATCACAGATCTAAGATCCCCGTCTCAGAACAAGTACACCAAAAAAACACAGAGTTGTTCATACTACTGTAGGCTGAAGCTATTTTACATACTTTTCAGATGCACAGAATGTGAAATTTGCCATGTATTTCCAAATATGTATAGGAAAGAGTGGTGGCACAGGAAGTCCATACTGATCTTTAATCATGTCTTGTCCAACTCACTTATTTGGAAAATGCAAATATTTGAACAACGTAGGCACACACAAACATCCATACACACAGGCCCTGCAACAGTATTTCCTCTCAGAAGAAATGAGTATCAAGTGACTTAGACACAACAATGTTCAGAGTCTACACACAGCACTATCCTTTTTTTTTTTTTGGAAAAGTATACAAAGTGAAAAGATGTGAGAAGCCTCTGCAGTAGCCCCACTCACTTTCTACTCCCTGCCACAGTTCTTGGCAGGAATGAGGAGGAGAAGGTAAAAAGCAAGCTTCACCAACCCCTGGTAACAAATCTCTTGCAGGGCAAACAGCTGGGCAGCTCCAGCAGAGAGCCCAGGCTGACACACAAATGAAACAGTGGCTGAGCAAGCAAGCACAGAGCAGCTCCAGAGGGATGAAGCACCTCTCCTATGAACACAGGCTGAGTGTGTTTGGGTTGCTCAACCCGGAGAACAGACATCTCCAGGGAGACATTACAGCAGCTTCCAGTAAAGCAGTTACAAGAGAGAGAGACTATTGACAAGAACATGGAGTGATAGGATATAGGGCAATGGCTTCAAACCTAGCAAAAGCATGGAGATTTAGATTAGCTGTTAGGAAGAAATTCTTGACTGCAAGGGTGGTGAGGCACTGGAAGACTTTTCCCCATAGAAACTGGGGATGTCCCATTCCTGTCAGACTTCAAGGTCAGGGTTACAAGTAACCTCATGTAGTAGAAGGTATCCCTGCCTATGGCAGGGGGTTGGAAATAGATGACATTTAAGGTCCCTTCCAACCCAAACCCATTCCAGGATTGTATGGATAAAGCACTTGTCTTCCTAAGGCACAATTATGCACAAACAAGTCCTGCCTTCCTGCAGATGGCTATACATCTGCCTGCTGATGTAAAGAAGTGAATTGATTTCTTACTGTGTGCAAAGCTTTTACTTTACCTGTTAAACTGTAACTCAGCCTGTGAATTTTTCACTTTTACCCTTCTGATTCTCTCCCCTATCCCACAGTGAGGAGTGAGCAGGTAGCTGTGGGAGGCTAAACTGCCTAGAAGTACCGGCCGTATCCAAATATGTAATACACCAACAGATAATTAATAAATTAATCTTTAGATTTCTGTTTTATTTAGTGGTTTCTCGTATCTCCTGGTAATGTTAGAAAAATCAACCAATGCATTTATCTTCAGCCAAAAAGAAAATAGGCACAGCTTTATAATCCATGAGGTGACTAAGGTTAAAAAAAATACTGCACTGTTTAATATTCTAACTTACATAGGTAGATGATATGTTATTATGAAGATATCCTAAAGTCAAACACTAATCTAAATCACACCCTAAGCTATATAGCGAACAACAGAAATTACTGTTAGAGCATTAATATGTAGCAAATTAAACAACTTCTAATAAATAACTGGAACCTCACTAAAACTTTAATGTATGTAAAAATATCACTTCTGCAGAGAAACAGAACAGAACCCATTGCACATGAACACACATGCACATATATATACACATACATACCTGTATATATACACACAGATACATACGTGCACGCACACACACAAATCATGTACCTCTCCAAGAGCTTCATAGCGCTTTTGATTCCATCTATGCAAATCTTCACGATAATTAAAAACAAATGGCTCCCCAGTTTTAATGTGTCTTAATTGCCCTTCTGCAAAATAAACAAAATCATTACAGTTAATATACTTCTGCATTAAGACACACTCAATTGCTGAAAATTTAAAAAGAAGTCTACATCTAAAAATCAAGCTATTATGAATTCCTCCTCATTTATGGTTATAGGCATTTTAACAGAAAACAACTGTAGCATAAAAAATTGCATTCCCATTTTGTGGTATATACTGCTAGATTAAGCTACACAGAAATGATGACAGTGAAATTGCACACAGATATCAAATGCCAAAGTGGTTCACAAGACATATTTATGTCTCAACTGCTATGAATTAACAGTGAAATGTAAACATTAATGGTTAATATTTGATCTGCAGGTGATTGAATTGTAGTTACAAATCCTCTGCAAAACGAACTGCATTGTAAAGAAATGCAAATACAAAAGAGGTTGGAAGCTAGAAGTAAGGGAAAGATTTATCTTCAAACCTAAAAATTTTCTAAGCTAATCTGAAAAGAACCATGTCCACAGTAAGGGAAAATACCATATCTCCAAGATGAAATCAAGTAAGACCTCCTAGATTTAGGTTACACTGAGATTACAATAGTAGAATAAAGCAGAATGTTTGTTCACAGCAAAGCCACATGCTACTTTTGCTCTCATTGTAACTTCCTATAGTTGGCCTTATGTATAGCCAAAGTTAACAGCAAATCCAACCACTTGCGAAGACATGGACTGTGTTAAAACAGTGATAATAACAAAATGAAAATGAGTAGGAAGCCAACTACAAGAACAAATATTTTACCTATGTTTGAACTTATCAGACAAAAGTTATAATCTCAAAGCATTAGAAAACAGCAGTATATCAGTGAAACATTAAAAACAGTGCTACATGCAAGTAAACTTGGAATGCTGAAACATCTGCACGATGAAACAAAGGTTTCCCCATAATGTTTCCTCTTGAATAGAAAAAAAATGCATGGTTCATGTATTTACAGAACTTTTAAACTTTGATTCCTGATAAAATATTTAAGATCTGATGTCTATAATAGTTATTGTGATAAGTTTAAGTTATGCTTATCTGCTGATTTCACTTTTTTCCAGACCCGCCTTAGCTCATGTACCATGGAAATATTTCTCCACAGTTTCCTATCCCTGTGTTGAGTTCAAATATCCTCCTTCTCACATTTTTTGTAATAACTTTACTTTCAGCTGCTCCTTCTCAGATACATACTCTTCAAATATGTCATTCAACAGTATATGAACTGGCTCTCACCACAAGTAACAAATATCTGCTATATTTTTCCTTTGACTTTCTGGAACCCCTGCCTTATCCAGATTTAAATAATCTGACAAAAAAACTTCTGTACTTTTCCACCATAAAAAGAAGCATGATTAGGACATAAAAATACATGACTGAACATTTGAATTAAATGTACAAAAGCAAAATGGTGACTTTTTTGCTTTGCTGACCTTTAGCACATGTGATAGGTTTTCCTCCATTCTATGGAAATCACTCAGGCTGTGAGGTTTAGTAATGGAATAATCAGTAACATAATTCAATCCCCAAAATTCAAATTTCAGCCCTTTTTATCAGCCACATATGAACCATTAACTCTGAAGTCAGTAAGGAAGACAGTAGACACTGTGCAGATCTAAAAATAAGGAGCTGAAAAGTGACAGAGCTTAACTCCTTCCATCAAAGAAAGAGCATCACTTTCATGACACTTTTAGTCTCTAAGTACTTACCTGTGAAAGCCATCAGGGTATTAAAAAGCTAAGTGTTGCATAAATGACTATCATTTAAAGGAAAGCTCTTTTTTTTTTTTTTCTTTAAAAGTGGAAGATGTAAAACAGGCAGATTTAGAAACTAAAGTTCCTCTGTTCACACAGCAGGCACTGCAAAGAAGTAAAATTGTAAACATTCCCATTTGTTCTACAGGTTTTAAACAATCTTGAAAGAGTCACTTCCTGTAGTCTGGTATTACTTTAGCTCAGAGGCTCATTTCTCACCTGGATTTTAAAACGCATGCACTGGAAATTATAAATACTCAGTCATTTAACACAGAGACTGAGCTAGCTGGAAGTACTTGCTTGCAGTCATCACACACTTGGCTGCAATGCAAAATTAAGTTCCACACAAGAAGAGACAGTCTATCACATTGCTTATTCTTCTATCAACATAGGTGATTTCCTACTGGTATTAACGGAATTGTTGAGACAAATTATTATCTGAAAAACAACTTCTTCTGTAGCCATAAAAATGAATTAGGAAATAAAATACTCCTTAAAGACAACGGTATTTAATTCTGATTTTTAAATGCTACAGAAATTACTTTCAGAATTTTTGTATCAACACTTTTGCAACAGAAAACAGGAAATCATAAAGTAGGACCAGTACAACTCCACAACATTGTATGAAATTAAGGATTTCTATGATAATTGTATGAAAGATTTACAAGTCTATCAGCACTAAAGTTGAAAATTTTAATCCTAACAGGAAAGTATGAAATTTTAATAGGGACTTATAAGGTATAATTCAGCTTCTGACAACTGCTCAACATTATTCTACATATAGTCTTTACAAAGTAGGTGTGACTTACTTTCATTAAAAATGTACTCAAATCCTTCCAAAGTATCAGGAAATTCAAGTGGTGGTTCATCTTTTTTCATTAGTTCATCCAAGTCTATTCTAGACAATAAATCTAAAAAAGGAAAAGAAAAAAATACATAGTGCATGGTGTGTCTTTTATTTCCTTTGTAACACTAAAAAAATATGTTTGCTGGTATTTGTAGATCTTACAGGCAGAAGAATATCCCAGTGTTACTAAACACAGGACACTGTTATGGAAAATCCTGTTCAAGGTTCAAAATCTGGACTTCACTGCCTGTACACATACTCATTTATTTACTTTCTTATTTACCTATTTATCTCTGTGTTAATCTAAAAATATCCAGAGAAATGGCACTCATCAAAGACATAGCAATTTGTTTCAAAGATTCATTACCTCAATGTTAGAAAATAAGTCTCTGAGGTATGCATGATGTTTTTAACGTAAAAGTTCTCTAGCTTCAGTTTCAAATAATTGATGGCATCTTGATTGCCTTCTTGAGGAGTTCATATAATCTGAGCACATCATCTCACTAGCATTTACCAGCTGTGTGGCCACACCAGTCCTCAGCCCCTCCTTTGATACCCAGACTGTTAGACCTGAATCCTTCTCTCAACCACCCCCTTCTATAGCTCTCAAGGTAGAGAAACTCCCATCCACTTCATAGTAACCCATGGCATACACATCCTTTTCAGATCAGGACTGTATGGCCTGGTACAGCCTACATGCAGTCACTAATGCAAGTACACAAAAATTATCATAATCTACATTCTTTACCCTGTATTTAATGATTTACATTTAACCAGAGGCAAACTTATGGGGACATATTTATATCTACCTGTAACTACCAAACAATTACTGCATACACAGGTAAAACTGTATAATGATCTCTCCTTTCCTCATTGCATATCACCCATACAATGCAGTGCTACGCTTCTGACATATTTTCTGAATATTAACTAAAAAAAATCAAGAAACAATTCAATCAAAATAAAATTTCCTACTTTTTTATTAGATGAAATTGAAGTCTACATAAACATTCTGTTCAGGAGTGCTAAACTGATTTTGAACTATTATTATTTCATAAACCAAGATACTGTGGGTTACCAAGGAAATACATTAAGTGTTCTAAGTATATGAATTTTCACCTTTATTATTATCCAACATAGGAGCTCAAAAAAAAACATATTGAAAAGACTTGTTTTCTTTAAATTTCATTTGGCATTAACTATGTTTCCATCTTTGTATTACTTAAAACAATTATTTTTATATTTTGTACTACTATTTTTGCTTGGTCTTGTTGCCAGTAGGCTACCCACATTACCTAAGCTTAGGACTGACACATTCAACACTTTGAAATGTCTACTGTTTAAAATGTACTGAAAATTGTCTTCAACATTCTTTAGAGTTCCTTGACCTCTGCTTTTACAACTCTTCAAGTTCACTTTACATTTATTCCAGCCAACTCTTATTTATTGTCTCCAACATTTACTGTCGCCAACTCTTCCTTCTGAGTAATTCCACTGGGCAAAGCTGGAGGATCAAAAGCCATCTGGTATGGTTGCTGAAATTCAACATCTTTCCAACAAGTACTATGGCTTCTGAGTATCTCTGTATTATCTAAATGTCCGTGTAACACCAGATACTGATTGGATGATTCTAAATCTCTCTTTCTCAGACATAGCTCACTTTTATATCACATCTGTTTAACAGCAAGTCCCATGAAATTCAATTCATGCAAGAAATTATGTCTTTGATCTTGTGCACTGTCCTTTGACAGTTCTGCAGAAGCCCCTTTGGTTCTCAACCAAATGATATGGAAAAAGAAAAAAGAAGGCTCCCACAACAGGATGTAAAAAATGCGTCCTTTCTTCCTTTGTACTGTGACAAAATCAAGGCAGCAACAGTCTTTAGCACATCTTTGTCTCCTTGGTCAAGAGACTCCAGTAACATTGCATCTCTACAATTTATTTTCTCTGCAGTTTCCATACTGTCTTACCATGATCTATTTTGAGACATATTTACACAGAAGTGTTACTTACTATCCAACAAAAAAAATCAATCTCCTGAGTATCAAGAATAATAGTATATTAAGTATACTACGCTTATTCATAATATGTACAGCTTGTCATGGTTTACAGCTTTCATCAGTCACTAAGGAAAACTGCACCTGTTCTGAGCTGAAACCATGGATATGCTCACTTTCCTCTTGTGCAACTTTTCAAATTAAAATTATCTAAAGTATCTTACAAGTTTACGATTCTTTCCAAATCTGATTTAGCATTCTCACCTAAGGTTTTGGACCTTCCAACTCAATTTGAGATAGTTCAACAGAGCTGAAAAACTGAGTGATCTCCAGGAGACCCTCTATAATTGAATGGAAAATCTCTAGATCATATAATTATCTTTAAAGATAATCAGATTAATTCCATGTATAAAATGGGAGTTTTACTTCCAAACCTGAACTATAGCTTCCTCAAAAGATACTAACTGGACAGAACTGGCACAAAGTTTGATAAAAAGCACTACATAGGTTTTCACCAAATACTTCACAAAAATTCAGTTGCAACTGAAGAAACACCATCTATCACCACAACGGAACATTGCTTTCTAATAATGCTTTGATAGAAATCCAGGATGTACACTCAAGTGGCAGGCTATGTTATTTTTTCTCCTTTGAAAGATAATTTAGAATACAACTGTGTGATGCAAGTGCTCTAAATCAATGTTTGGTTAACTTACTTGTAGGTTTAACCAGCTTCATGTACTTCCAAAGCTGCAAGCCACTATCTAAAACATATCATTTATGTAAATTATTTTTACCCCTAAGTCATTTAGATCTGTTTATTTTTTAAAACATACAAAGGGAACTTTATAAAACCAATATGGATATAAATGTCTTGAAAGCCTCTTCACTTTTAGCATTGTAGTCCAAGAGATTTCTAAACAGTCTAATATAGTTGTATAACTATAAAATAAAAGCATCACACAAATTAAATCAAAACTTCTGAAAACTTACGAACACAAAAGCCAGTCAACTTTCTAAGAGGACAATTATGGAAATTTTAAAAAGCAATTAATAGTTTATTCTGTTACTCCTTAACACACATCATTATATTTTATACCATCTTACGAAAATTCTGATAAATGGACACACCATTAGACAATAAGCATTAGCACAGGTGGACTAAGAGTCTCTTCTAGTATTGTAATTCCCAAGCTCTAACTCATAACTATATAATATTATTTTCCCTTCCTAAACAGTAATTTCTGAAATGTCAATATATGTCAAAAAAAAGGCATAAAAAGACTCATACCCTTTAATGCAGTAGTCTTCTCTTTTTCATCTGGACCTCCTTGCTGGAGCTGAGCCATTATTTACCCAAACTATCAACAAACTTTGAAATACTGAGATAAATGTAGATTAATATTCAAAGGACAATCTGAAAAAGAACAAGAGTTGGAAATTAGTAAATATACTGACTTCTTCAACAGCTCTCGTCTGCTGTTTACACAACCAAAAAAAAAAATCTGATTATTATAAGCCCAAAGTCTGACCAAGTTTGGTTAAAGATTCAAGTTCACAAGAATTAACAATACTTCCCCCTAATCCTAAAAGTACTTCTACTTAATCAAAACTACTTCTTTTGTGATTCTAATGCAGCATCAGTAAACACTAAACTTTTTACAGACGCACAACATCTGCAAGTCCAAAGCAGAAGATACAAGAAAAACAAAAGACAGTCAACAGAACTTCCACAATCTTTACGGATTTTCTTCCTCAATTAACTTCAGTTTGTTCTCATTACTGTATTATATAGTTTTGTTTTAGCAAAGGTACATGAAGCACACTATTTTAAGCCATTGTGATTTCCACAATACATTTACTGGTATTGAAATATCTTTGCATTGTAAATGTATTAAAATATAAAGCTACATTTGTCCAGCTACAGAACAAATCTCAATGTATTTGAGACAAAACTTTACATGCAAAATCTATTTCCAAATTTCTCTTTCTGCACAGAAGGCAAACCAGACATTCAAATCCACAGACGCTTTTATCTTGAGTCTGACACCAAGGGAGTGAACTACCAAATCACAATTGCTTCTCCCTTCTCAATAAAAAGACTGCAGTGCATTGAATTATTCCCTTAATCTTTTTTTGGTTCTTTGTTTTATCTGTCAGTCATTACCAACTTCTTTTATTCTTCTCCCTCATATACTTTACCATTGATGAGCTTGTATGAACTCTACTGTAACTTGTCAAAACAGTAACAGAATTCACCAACTGTACTACTGGCTCCCTAACACTTAGACCTGCAACAAAGAACTCCAAAACGATTAAGTAAGAGCAGTTCATTCTATAGACAGCAGAAAAAAATAAACTTAGCATAATAAAGACTACTCTTCCATTCTACATAGAGAAAACCTGTTAAACATTTTCTTGTATATTAAAGGAATAATAAAGCAATCTAAGAGGGTGTTAGTTATTAACTAAGGACAAAGTTTGAAGGATTGTTTGATTTGGTTTTTTAAACTTGGGGGTCTAGAAAGTCCAATAATCCATTTTACAAGTTGGAACTATGGCAGACTTTGACACCTTCCTTTGTAAAGGCTGTTCAGACAAAGTTGGTAGGAAACAGCAATACTTATAATAAGAGTATTTTAAAGACACAAGTTCAAAGGAGTTGGAAAGGTCCGTTTATATTGTGTACTTCATAAATTATTACATGATTCAGTTAAAATGTGCATCTTTTGTCTAACCCTTTAGTCACTACTAATAACAAAAGCAATTACAAAAATAACAGCAAAACCATTGAGATTTCTTGGTGCATTTTCTAGTCTATAAAGTTGTATATGTAAATATTAATAATTAAGAATTCTAATAATATTATTATGTAAATATTTGTGATTCAAATGTTGATTCCCACACATGGATGGTATTAAATATTTTCAGCAGATGTTTCCAAGCAGTTCGTTGAAAAAAGACTACCAAATACAAAATTTTGTCCATCTTGTTCATACATTTGCAGCACAAATCCACTATATTCTACATAGTAGTATATTCTATTAAATTCCAGAAGATTCTAGTAAAACATATGGAAAAGAAAGCAATTTCAATTAAAATTATTCAAAGTTCTAACTAATGACAATTACAGAGTTTTGTAATAGCCCAGATTAAAATTACTCTAATCATATGAAATAACTTCTTTGAAAATTCATAACTTGGTATAAGTAAGTTAACACAGCTAACAAAATACACACAGTTCCTCAAATATTTGTTGTTAGCCAAGGAAAGAAGCGCACAATCTATCTGAACAGATTTTCCTTGGAAAACAAGATCCCATCCCCTGATCAGATAAATCAACGCAGAGACCAGAAATCCTTGCCATTTTTGTCTCTACCATGGATACCATTCTTCCTCCTTTATTAGATGAAGACCCTGCCACTGAGTAACAGTTCAACTGCAAAGCTAAAAGCACCAAAATAAATAAATCTAAATTTACCTTTGAGAGACAGAATTTACAGTTCTTTCTGACAAAGTAAAAAAACTGTTACAGCAGCCACTGGAGGCAGGACTTGATATCATAATGAGGATGGAACAAGTACACAGTACGTTATGCACTGTTTCTGTGAATACAGGATTTTTTGGAGTCCCTTACTGATACTTATTTAATTAAGAGAAGAAATTACTTGAGAGAATTAGATTTCTGTTCTTTGAAAGAGTGGTGCCAAATCCATTATTGATTGTGCAAAAATAAGCACAGGAAAATGATGAAATTCTGAGTGGTTCCATACAGGCAAAGCAGGAATTGTAGCTTATTCCAGGCATTAATTTCAAACTGCAGTTTATTCTAGGTACTAATTTCAAATCCCAGTGATCTTCAACTGCATATACTGACCACTTTATATAATTCCTAAATGCTGTCAAGTTTCTTGTAATAAATACAGACTTTAAATGTGTTATTGTATCGGTATTCTTAAAGGTGTTATTCCTACAATTACTTAGATAAGTGTTTTCTTTTGAAAAGACCTCTGTGGGTTTTTTTTAATAGCTACATACAGCAAGCATACTTCCTAAAGCACAAGTTACTATTTCACCTGAAGAAAATAGGTTTATGCATATTTACTTGTATGCATCTTGCTTATGCATGAAAACTTATGTATTCTGACACAAAGTACCTTATACATGTTCTGTGCCTCTTTAACTCCAACCCCTGCAATACTTAAAAACAGTTTGACACAGAAATATTCTAGTTTCATGGTTTCATATGAGCCAACAAGGCTGCATTTTCATTATATCCCTGCTTATGTAATTACAGAAACTGGCAGACTCAGTAACAAACAGTCAATAAATTAATTTTTAAAAAACGCATACCTCAGAGAACATACACATATATTATGTTGTTGCCCTAAAGTGGTATTGTAAGTTTGGACTACAGACCTTGTGATGGCTTAACAGTGGTGTTTTTTAAATCAATCTGACACCATATGGCACCATATCATATCCATACACATGGTACACATATGCAGGTTTCAATATACTTAAAATACTCTTTATTGTGCAGCTGCAGACAGAAGTGTGACAAAAAACACAGTATATGATTTTGTTCTAAATTAGCAATACCTGAAGCTAAGTCAATATTACAAATGCTCCAAATAGAAGCTATAAACAAGACATTAATAAGAAGAAAACATACAAGTATCTTCAAACACCACAAGTCCTTCAGGCTTATCTGGACATAATGTGAGGAGGTGTTATCAGAATGCTTCTGTGTACTGTACTCCTTTATTAAAATATAATAGAATGAGAGTCCTACTCTTTGTAAACTGACTCCCCGAGCAAGCTAGGAACAAGTATGGGTTAGATGTGTATAATGTGGCTGATGACCAATTAAGACTCAATTTTTCTTCAAAGAGATAACTGGGCAACAGTTTGCTTCGAGTCCCTTGTCAGTATTGGCTCAATAAAGCAAAAAAACCCAATAATTCATCTTAGCAGTATTTTCTCTCAATTAGATTTTGTCTTTTCCCTCTTTTAGGACACTACAGATGGCATCAGTAACAACTGCATCAATTAAGGTTGTATTTCACCTTCCCACACTTAAAAGACCGTATTTTTAAGTGCTTATTGGTTTACCCAACTTCAACTCTGAAAGGCTATTATTTCCAGTCTGCTTCAGACTAAATGGTTTTGAAAGTGTATACCTCTACTATAAAGTTCAGAGACAGCACCTCAGTTCTGACGATGTTAATGAGCAGCTACAGCCCCTCCATGTTAAAGACAGCATCTCTATGTTAGAGATCAGAAATTTAGGATCAGAGGACTAGCTTAGTAGTATGTGCTTGCCTGTCTCACTCTGCTGAAGTTAAAATGGCCTTTCTCATGCATTTAATACAGACTACTAAGACTCACCAGAATTTCAAGAAAATTTGCCTAGTTGTCCAGAGTATGCTCCATACCACTGCAAAAAACAGAGGAAAGATGCACAGGAAGGGATTAATAAATGCTGGAAGGGCAGATGTAACAACTTATAATACAAAGAAATTGGCAATGATCCTAAAGTCCCTGAATCTCAGTAGATCTTTGCACACTACCAAATAGTGGTAGAACTTGCTGATAAAGTACGACTTTTTGTATGTCCTAAAGTTTGATACAGTAGCACAGCAACCACCTTCCAGTTTCATTTACTCCATAAATTCAAACAACAGATGACTAGGAGCCACATGCATTAGCAATATGTGTCAGCAACTCAACTCTTTACACCAAGCAGAGTCAACCCAACTCCACACATTGAGATTTTAATGATTTTGGTTTAACTTCCTTGAAATGCTGAAAATTACCTTCATAAGGATATCCATATTAACACAAGGAAAAACACTACATCAAAATAACAGGAAAAAGAGGCAGCACAACCTCAACATAGCCTCTGTGATATTGACAATATAACGGTATACCAACCAAACACAAAGACAGAAATTATCATCTGCTGCAGCAATAGCTTTGAGTACTTGTACTGGTTTTCTCTAGGAGAGTCAGTTTTCTTCATAGTAGCTTGTAGAGTTTGGATTTGTGCTGAAAACAGCATCATTAACACCGCTGAGCCTGATCACACAGCATCAAGGGCTCCCCCTGCTTCCATGTGCTGCACTGCCAGCAGGCAGGCGGGAGTGTACAAGAAGCTGGGAGGGCACACAGCCAGGACAGCTGAGACCAACTAACCACATGATGACACATTCAGCAATAAAAACTTGGAAAAGAAGCAGGAAATGTGTGGAATGGTGGTGTTTGTCTTCCCAAGTTAACCGTTACACACAATGAAGCTGTGCTTTCCTGAGGATATATGAATATTTGCAATTCCTTATTTTGCTTTGTTGCTGTGCACAACTTTTACTTCTCCTATAAAGCTGTATTTATCTCAATGCGTTAATTTTATTACTTTTATGTTTCGTGTTCTTTGCCCCATCCACTGTTTGGAGAATGAAGGAGTAGCCAGAGGAAGGACTTGCCTATTGTAGCTAATCCACAACACCACAATACAGCACTTCCATAAATACGCACACTATCAATAATTAGGTGTACAGGACCCTACTTCTGTTGTGGTAAATAGATAGTTAGCTAATGAATCAGGCCATCAACTCTCAGGACAGAAAAACTGACCCTGTAGTGAAGGGAGGAAAATGCTGTCCGGAGAATCCTGTTCAGAGAAGAAATTTGCAGGTAACTTGTCCACAGGGCCTGAAAGATAAAATGTTTGCAGATAACCTCTTTTTATATATTTATCATTTTCCAGGCAGGAAATTCAGCCTGGACTCCTGCTTTAAGAAAGTCAAAGAACCTTCTTTAGTCTTCCCAATCTCAGCACCTGAGATGAATATACACTGATGAACAAGACATTAATCTCAAGATGCTTTCACCATCACCTTCCTCTAAAAGGTTGGAGGGACTCCTTCACAAACAACAGATGTGAGGGAAAAACCAAGGAATTAATGTTTATGAAGAACTTCAATCCACAACTGAAGGATCAGGAAAAGTCCATGTAATATGCAATAATGTTTTAACTACTGGGTGATTTACTTTCCATTATTTCATGGGCCTGTATCTCAGCTGATGAGGACAGAAAAAAAAACTGAGACAATAAAACTATTTGGAAAACGGCTGTGTTCTTATTTGTTTATGCTTCTTATTTACAGAATAAGATTTTCTAGGCAGTGTACAATACAAGGAGTTATGAGGCCTTGGTAGGACATTACTTCGTAACATAGTTGAAATTGCCCTGTGATAGTTTATAAAAAAATTGTGTTTGGATGAGATTTAGATGCTTGTACTTTGTATTGTTGGTTTTAATAGGATTTTGACTTGAAAGATGGAGTGGAGAAGATTGACTCTCAATAGCCTCATCTCAGCACATACTAAGCAGTTGCAGGACAAAGCCAGAATTTTTTTTTCTTAACATTATCTTTTCTCAAGCAATCCCATGAGTCAGCTGGGTGAGAAATATGCCTCTGAACAGAGAAAAACTTGAAGACTATTAATAGTCTTCTCTTATGAGAGACACCAAAGAAATTTTCCAGAATGCTGCATAAGAAAGAGAGAAACTGGAAAACTCTAGGGAAATAGCTTCTACTCAAGCCACCATCAAAAGCTGCTAAAAGCCCTAGACATATGCCTATGTGTCTAGTACTTTAAAATCCCTTTTTTCCCCCTCTCCTCCTTTGCTCTTCAGTAACAGCATGACTTCACAAAGGACTGTCTGCCATGAACTGAAGACTCCTGAAAAGAACACATGCAAATCAGATGGAAATGCAGTGCATCCAGGTCTGTAGCCCAGATCTTTATAAACACCAATGTATTTGTGATTCTACCTCAGATTCTGTGTTGAAAGATGCACAAAAGGAGGCTAAAGAAAGGTAAGAGGCACATTCAGTTTTCTACAACACATCTGTTTCCTCCAACCTCTTCTGGGATGTGCAGATGCAAATATGTATCACCACCTAACTTGACTACTCTGCATCTAATGCAAATACTGCAGACGACACAAAAATATACAAATCAGATGGATGTTATACAGAATCAAATCATACACAACTGAAAAGAGCATGAAGGGCTACTAAAGACATCAGTTCATCATCAAGTTATCTTATTTCAGAATCAGACTAAAAAGCCCAAATCCCCATAATGTACATATCTCTTCTTTGCAGCAACATCTGCCTCAAGAGATCTGCCACACAGCTCTTCCCACAGCTTTTCTTCCAACACTTGCTTCTTCAATGTTTATGATTTCTGCAAGCTTTACGATATAGCACCTCAGCTGTCTTTGCTCTGTCCCCTGCCTGAAAGGCAGCATGTGCTATATGGCCAGTTAAATCAAATACTGCTTAATTTCAACCCTGTGAAACACCTGTAGCCCTCAGATTTGTTTCTGCTAGATTGTCATAACATAGCAAAACAACATACATATATACATATATTATATATAATGTGAATAATATAAATACATTATTCCTTTTAGCTAGATATTTAAATAACTGGATATTCTAATTTTGACTGCATCAAACTTGCATTTTAACTTTTCTTCCATATCAGTACAACTTTTCTTTCACAAAACATTAAAAGAAGAAAAATAAAAAAGCAATGCAAGTAAGTTTTATCTCCTTAACTGGTTCACCTTTAAAAACTAAAAATCCGATATTCATATTAAAAATATTCCATCAAGTACCTGTCAGTAATTGTAACCACATTTATTTACACTGTTTGCTACTGCCTGATCTACAACCTTGCTATCTCTGTCCAGAGCCAAGACTGACAAAAAGCTGTAACCACAGCATCATAGAGCAGTCCAGGCAGGAAAAGATCTTGGGAAATTATCTAATTTCCAACCTTCTTTTGGATCTTATTTCCTAAGGTTTTAACAGGGCCTTAGTTCAAGTAAGCTATGGTGCTGCCAAGACGAGCCTTAAATATATCCCAGAGGGAGATTCCACCATGTTTTTCAGGAACTTACTCCAAGATTTCCTTTTCCCTATACTGAGATGAAATTTCTGCTCTCACTATTCATCCTTCTGAGCAGAAAATATATTCTCTTTCACAACTTTCTTCTGTGACTGGTTTACTGATGAAACTTTTGCAAGCCGTCTCTCCACTGAGGTGCTGGAACATGTACACAGGAAGGAAGTGAAGCTGGTGAAGGGTCTGGAGCACAAGTATTATGAGCATTGCCTGAGGGAGCTGGGCATGTTTAGCCTGGAGAAAAGAAGGCTCAGGAAGACTTTCTAGCTCTCTATAATAGCATGGGGGTTGGGTTTTTCTCACAAATAACAAGAGAAAATGGCCTCAAGCTGCACAAAGGGAGGTTTAGATCAGGTATTAGAAAAATTTCTTTTCTGAAAAGGCTGTCAAGCACTGGAACAGGCTGCCTGGGGTAGTGGTAGAATCACCATCCCTGGAGACATTTACAAGATATGTAGATGTGGCCCTTAGGAACATAATTTCTGGTGGGACTTGACAGAGCTGGATTAACAGATGAACTTGAAGATGCCTTTTCCAACCTAAACAATTTCCTTGAACTTTTCTCCAAATGTTGTGTTCTCTAACATCCTAATCATCATTCCAACACATAACTCATCCTGGTGGCTATCTGCTGGATCTTCTCCAATTTTTCATCAATGATCAGGGGACAAACCAGACACAGTACCCTAGCACATCTCCTACCAATACCAGAGAATCAGTGTGACTTCATTGACAAAAGGGGACATTGTTCAGTTGGCCATCCAGCAACACCCTTGGATTCTTTTAAGCACAACATCCCAGCCAATCCTACCACAGTCTGCTTGCTGTTTGGGAATTATACCATTGTCACTGCACAACTTCACACATATCTTTGTTAAACCTTGTGCAATTCCTCCTGGTCTAGTCTTCCTGCATGATGGATTACAGCTGTCCACCAAGACAGATAATAATTATGACAATGATCTGGCCATTTCATTTGCACCTTTGATTTGAAAGCAAGAAGGAAAAAATGTAGACCAAATGCTCTCTTTTTATTCTCAATCCTTTTGCCATAATAGTCATAATTTTACTTTCCATGCTATAAAGCCAAAATCCTTGAAGAAATTAAATTCTACTTATTTGATGAACTACTCAATGAGGCTAAACAGATGTATCTATGGGACTGGTTAAGCCTTAAGCCTAAACATTCTGTCATAGCAGTAACCACTAACAGACATGGCCTAAAGAAACTTCAGTCATTATAAACCAACATTGCAAAATTCTTTGTCCATTTTGTTGAAAGCACTGCATTTCCTATCAGTTTGAAGGAATCCCTACTAAAGAGAAAAATTGTCTTTAATGTTTTTAAGTGCAGCATGTGATTTAGCAGAGATTAGCCAAGTGCTGCCTAACACAAAGGTACAGATAAAACCAAGAGGAGAAAGACATGAGGAGATGCAACCTAGTTTGGCAAAAAAAAAAAAAAATCATTATCAATTCCTCATTTTTTCTTGGAAGGCTCAGTTTCAGGCCAGACAGTCCCTCAAAATCAACTATGTCCTCTTAAATAGAGGCCTTTTATTTTCTTCAGCACCAGTCTCTAAGACCAATAACTTATGTTTAACTACAGCAGTTTGTACAGAAAGGCATCCATAGCAAAGTTCAAGTTATTAAGAGCTAAATCCATCAATTGCTGTGATTTCTGAAAGGCTAGTCATTGTCCTTTGTACTTTCTTTCCAATTTTAATTACTTTGGCTTCAGGCTTCAGTCACTATTTATTGCTACACCTTTGTATGTTAAGTTTTCTCTCTCTGTTTCCCATACATGATTAGATACCACTCTTTCTTTGGTAAACTAAACAAGCTTAACAGAGACTCTAAGAAATTTTGATTCTAACCCAAAGTAATTTTTTCCAGTTTCTCTGTTCCATTCAATTTTTAAAATCCCTACTGACTGGTGTTAAGCACAACTTAGATATTTGAATAGCATGGTAACTGAAAAATATAGTACTACAACAGTGTTTATCAATAAAACAAACTGTAACTACAGGAAAAGAGTACAGAATGCATTAAAATTATTTTGCCTCTTATGTCATCTTTTGATCAGAAAAATAATGTCTCATCCTAAAAAGTCATGAACAATATACATTTTTACTAAGGACGAATGTTAAAATCTTTATGTCAACCTCTATGGCAGCTGATCATATTGATTCCAAGACAAAAATTAATAGGAGAAACAGATATATTAAACAGTATGCTGAATGGGAAAAATACAAAGCAGCATCAGACCCACTGAGCACAACAGACTCCTGAAAAGTATGTTATAGGCAATATAAATATTTTCTCAAACAACTGACAATTTTCAAAATATGTGCCAAAATATCATGACCTATAAATTATCATTGTGTAAACAAGAATTCTTTTTTTCTGTAATTAAATTAATGCTGTACTGAGCACTACACAGTCACATTTGCAGTATACACTCAGGACAAAATGAAGCTTCAAAGGAAAGTGCTAAATCAACTACAGAACAGTAAGCAAAAATATCCTGCAAATATCTAGTCAATAATGTAGCTAGCCCTCAAATATTTTATATTTTTTACCTACTTCAAAATGAAAGTGGAAGAAACATTTCAGTTTCAACAGCTTAAAAATGTGACATAGGGCAAAGAACCAAAAATGGTCTGTCCTAAATTTCTGTGCTACAGAAGAAGGAAAAAAGGAAAAAAAATCTTAGCTAAACCAAAACT